ACAAATTAAAAGCATAGCGACTGATACTTCAACTTTTGATGATTCATTTATCAGTATAGTTCTGAAAACAGATGTCAGCGGTGTAATATCTTTTAATGAAACTGCAGTTTTATGCTTTTTTAGTCTCTGCATGACTCTTTGAGTTTCGTATTTTCGCTTTAATTTCACACTTGCAGTACTTGCAACAAGCTTTGGTCATATCCCCAGTTTTTAATTTTGTCATCATGCAACCACTCTTTCCAAATTTTTTGCTCATACTTTACTTTTGGCATGTTGAAAGGTTTTTTCAAAGTGAAAGCCACATAAGAAGGTGAGCAATTATTTTTTTAAATCACATGAAAAAAGAAACGCAAAGTCAGCACAGTGAGGATACGGTTGAAACAAAGTTAGTATGATTTACGCGCATTTTTATTAATCAGTACCGGGGCTGCCAGATATTTGTGCGTTGACCCCAGTGAGAGTTCAAAGTTCAAGTAATGGCAGTTGTCACAATGTACTTGCCAGACCAAAACAAAAATATTGTAGTAAATATTTTACACAGTAATTATTAAATTGACAATGAAAGAAAAAAAATCTATAAAATATCTAACTCTATATGAAAAGCATCTAGAAAAATATTAACGATCTAAACGTCAAAAACAGTATCTAAATGCAATGAAAAAGATCTAAATTTGGATATAAAAGATCCAAAGTGGCAACACTGGGTTTTGTGCGCATCGTTCACTAGGAGTTGTTTGTGTCTATTTTTCACGAAGCGGTGTGTGCATTTTTCACAGAGCGGTGTGTGCATTTTTCACGGGGCGGTGTCAGTGTTGCCACTTTGGATCTTTTGTATCCAAATTTAGATCTTTTTCATTGCGTTTAGATCCTGTTTTTGACGTTTAGATACTAAATATTTTTCTAGATTCTTTTCATATGGAGTTAGATATTTTATAGATTTTTTTTCTTTTAGTGTCATTTTAATAATTATTGAGTAAAATATTTACTAAAATATTTTTGTTTTGGTCTGGCACGTACATTGTGGCAACTGCCATTACTTAAACTTTGAACTCTCACTGGGGTCAACACTCAAATATCTGACAACCCCGGTGCTGATTAATCGAAATCGCGCGTAAATCATACTAACTTTGTTTCAACCGTATCCTCACTGTGTTGTGAAGTATAGCTGTGATTCTGACTCTGTGTTTCTTTTTCATGTGATTTAAAAAAAAAATAATTGCTCACCTTCTTGTGTGGCTTTCATTTTGAAAAAAACTTCAACATACCAAAAGTAAAGTATGAGCAAAAATTTCGTAAAGAGTGGTTGCATGATGACAAAATTAAAGACTGGGTGATGACAGTTCCTGGGGATATAACCAAGGCTCGTTGTAAGTACTGCAAGTGTGAAATTAAAGCGAAAATACAAGACTTAAAGAAGCATGCAGAGACTAACAACCATAAAACTGCAGTTCCATTTAAAGATATTATACCGCTGACATCTGTTTTCAGAACTACACTGATAAATGAGTCATCAAAAGTTGAAGGGTCGGTCGCAATGTTTTTAAGTTGCCATTGTGCAATTTCAAACTGTGACCATTTGATTGATTTGTTTAAAAACACAATTTCTGACAGTAAAGTTATGGATGATGTGAAAATGCATCGCAGCAAGTGTACACATATTATAAGAAATACTTTATTTTCTCACTTCGAAAAAGATTTGATCAGTGATATTTCTACAAATAAATATAGTTTATTAATTATTATTAGACGAATCAAATGATATTTCGGTACTGAAAGTGCTTGGTGTGTGTATTATATATTACAGCAACAATACAGACAAAGTAGTTTCTACATATCTTGGACTAGTTCAATTGGAAAAGTGTGATGCAGAAAGTATAGTTCAAGAACTGAAGAACCTTTTAATCAGCAAACAGTTAGACTTGACAAATTTGGTTGCAATTGGTACCGATAATGCCTCAGTGATGGTTGGCATAAACAATGGCGTTTATGCCAAGTTGAAGGAAGCTATCCCATCGTTAATACTTATAAAATGTATGTGTCATTCATTGCAGCTAGCATTATCACATGCTTCATCTGAATGTTTACCAAGGAATTTGGAATAACTTATTGCTGAAACACATAACTGAATTTCAAAATCATATGTCAGACAACAGCAATACAATGCATTGTATTCAGCCTTAAATAATGGTTCCACACCACTGAAAATTCTGTCAGATTGCAAAACCAGGTGGTTATCAATACAACCAGCTGTTGAAAGAATTGTGAACCAATGGTTGGAGTTAAAGACACACTTTGAAATAACAAGACAAAGTGAAAAGTGCTACACAGCTGAGATACTATATGGAATGTACAGTGATGAAAAAAATTTGGCATTCCTTCTCTTTTTACAACCTATTCTAATGGAAGTGCAAAAAGTTAATAAACTGTTCGAATCCAAACATGTTGATAAAGTTAAATTACTTGACGATCTCACTTTGCTATTTTACTCAGTTGGTAAAAGACTGGTGTTGCCAACTTCAAAAGTTGATTTGCTCACTTGCACTATAGAGAGCTATTTGGCTCCTAAGCCATACCTTGGATATCAAATTGAATCAAAAATTGATGATTTAAAAACAAAAGGACTGTTAACAGAGAATGAAGAGAACAACTTAAGAAAACGCTGTCAAGTTTTCATTATCTCATTGTTCAAGCAACTAAAGCAGAGACTTCCTGAAAATCTAGATGTATTGAAACATATTTCACTCTTTTCTGTGAGCAACATACTTCAGCCAGTAAAGGACATACCTAAATATTGTAAAGCTATGAAATTTTTAGGGGCTACTGACAATAGTGTCGCGGAAGCAGAATATCAAACAGTCCATTATGTAAACTCTTTGAATGTGCCATGTCTGCCATGGTACTACCCCACTCAAATGCTGACGTAGAAAGAGTTTTCAGTGCTATGAATTACATCAAATCTAACCTAAGAAACAGGATGAAATTAGACCTCTTAAATGCTATCTTGAAAATAAAGTTTGGCCTGATGAGAGTAGGAAAATGCTGTTCCACTTATCAGCTCCCTGATTGTGTATTAAAAGAAATAGGAACAGCTAAAGCATACCAGAGTAATTTGGGATCTGAAGCTTCAACTTCATCATCCAAGCTAAGTTTATCCTGTGGATCTTGTGAAGCAGACATCAGTGAAGATGAGGACATGTGTCTATAGGGTAAGTCATTTCAATAGTTTTGTAATTTGTGACTCTTTTCATTTGGATATTTTTTTAAATATTTTCCACGCAAATTTAGATCTTTTTAGATATTTTTTAAACCCCGTTTTGGATCTTTTTTGTCAAAGAAAAGTGGCAACACTGGGCGGTGTATGCATTGTTCACAGAGTGGTGTGTGCATTGTTCACGAAGTGGCTTTTTTACGTCCCGACCTAAACTTAGGGTCATTTTATTTGTTATTCTGTCTCTATCTCAGGTTTAACTCTGGTCTATTCTTATTAGAGAGCCTTGTGTGAAGTACACCGCATGAGCCGGTTATGCAATGGAGTGTTTTAATATTGATGTGACTAATCTCCCTGAACTGAGGTATTACCGATAGTCCATTTGTAGGCCTTCGGCCGAGGTATTGATCGATACGTTCACTTTTAATCTTCGGCCAATACGTTTATTCGTAGGCCTTGAGCCTACAGACATTGTTCGATGTTCATTGCAGGCTTCCCCGAAGCTACAGCAATAGTAGAGATTGTCATTCGAAAGCCACGCGGCGCTGGCAATGGTGGAATATGTCCTTCGAAAGCTACGCGGTGCTGGCAATGGTGGAATATGTCCTTCGAAAGCCACACGACGGGGCAATTGTGGTAAAATGTCTCTCGATAGCCATGCGACTGAGACAGTGGTGAAATGTCTCTCGATAGCCATGTGGCTGAGACAGTGGTGAAATGTCTCTCGATAGCCATGCGACTGAGACAGTGGTGAAATGTCTCTCGATAGCCATGTGGCTGAGACAGTGGTGAAATGTCTCTCGATAGCCATGCGACTGAGACAGTGGTGAAATGTCTCTCGACAGCCATGCGGCCGAGACAGTGGTGAAATGCCTATCGATGGCGTTGCGGCTGAGACAACTGTTTAATACGTCTGAGCTAAAAGAAATTAGTGGAAGAATTACTGGACGTCGGAGAGAAACCCCACCTTGTCAAGAATCCTGAAAATCGCCGACCATGATGTATTTGATGTTTTTGCTCGTTGTGTGTCAGTGATGACGTGATTCATGTTTAAAGGTATTTTTTTTAACCAAGGAGCAGATTAGTTGGGGGTTTGTAATGACTCTACTGATCTGACGGTTTCTCGGACATAAACGTAAATGTTTCATGTTCCGATGATTATCGACATCATCATGTACGTAGGGGACTTGTAATGGGTTTACGTGTCTGGTGGTGTTTGGAATAAAACGCTCATGTTAACAATGCTCCAATGGTTATTGCCGTCGTTGATGTTATTTCCTACTTAGAACATATATGTTCATTTTTACGTTGCTTGGGACGAGCCATGTTTTGCTCATATGTCAATGGCAGTTATTATTGTTTTGGGTGTACGTTAAGACCTTCAATAAAAACCCTGACACACTGTAGACTAGGCTACATGGCGAACGACTATCCAAAGAGACGCGGCGACTTGCGAGGCATCTAGAAAAAAGCCAGCTGAAGATAGCTAGAAAGACCCGTATAACAGGCCTTTTTATCTAAATATACTGTTCAATGTCCTCATTGCCCTAGATCTTCCACTTGTGTTTGATCAACGACGTTCCTATATCGCGAACTGCTCTTGTGTTCCGAAGTTCAATAATATAGTTAATCAATGAAAAGAGGCGTTGTCCTGAAACGAAAGTATCTTTACGACCTGAAGAGTTACACGTAGTCACTTTGAACTTTGGACAAGACGCCGGCTGGACCTTTCACCAGTGTCGTGTGACCAGTTTAGTTTTGTACCTGTTAAGATACTACATCTGGGCGTGTAATGACTTCACAGACAACAATAACAAGTGCCGACTATGGTGTAACCAGCGATGGACGCAAAGTTACTAGGTGATTTTTGTCTTTCAACAAATATTTTTCTTACTCTTTTTTTTTTTAGTTTTAGTTTACAACTTTAGGTTATCCTCCGAATGACGGTCCTAAATTATTTTCCGCCTCGATAATTTAGGACCGTTATTCGGAGGATAGCCCAACTTTATAATGTGAGTGTAGCATGCTATCTTCCGAATACCTATAACGGTCCCAAATTATTGAGGCTGAAAATATATCCTAACAGGGCCTCAGTCAGATGTAAATTGCGGACTTTCGCATCTCCAATAGTATCTCCCACGCCGCGCGTAGCGGCATGGAGTGGGGCTAAACTAGATGGCTGGGACTCACGAGCGTGGCGTGGGAGATACTCTCGGTAGTGGCAGTTGTCGCCGGAAGTTCACAGGAAGTCCGCAATTTACATGTGACTGAGGCCCTATTACTATTAGGGTATATTTTCGGCCTCAATAATTTGGGACCGTTATTCAGAAGATAGCTGTGTAGCATTTTCAATTCATTTTGGAAATTTTGTTACTTTTTCTTTTACTTTTAGTTAGTTTAATTTTAGTTTGATTTTGTGGATTATGTTTAATGTTTACTTAAGAATCAGCATCACAACACTCTGGATATTCCCATAAATGCTCCGTCCCATCTTCAGCAGATCCATTTCAAAAGTTACCAAAAGCAGTCTGGTTGTATATCCGTCTCATCTTTCCCTTAAGTGCTGATCGCAGAGCACCAGATCTCCTGATCAATCCCAGCAATACCATTCTCTTCAAACCTTGATAATCCATCTGTGCTTCCACACTGTTCACTTGCCCCCAAAGAGCCCTTACAACATCTAGCTTGTCATGCATCAATTCACCACCAAGTTGTGCAGAGCCATCCAATCCATCAGTCTGTTCATTGACTAATACACTTATCCTGGGAAAAATATTCAAAGTACTGTAACTATCCAAGACCTTTGAAGCGATGTTGCCACTCTGCACGGAGCATAATGGTCTCTACCTTTCTCAACATGCTCTGTGAGTCGGTTATAATTATGACATGTGTGTACTGATTCTGAAGCCAGGGATAGGCTGCAGTGTCTGCCTTCACCTCTATTCTCAAACTAGATGTTGTGGTGTCATATGCCAGGCTTTGTTGCACTAAGCGACTTCCATTCCATTTTGCCAAAAACCCCTATTTACTTTGTCTGCCTCTCAACAAAAAAACCATTTGTACAGATTATCACATCACCTGGGCGAGCATTTTCATGAATCATTTTTTGAACTGATTCTGCAGTGCCCGCTGGCCAGTCCCTGCACTCATGGCCCAGTGTGATCAGAATCCAGCACAAGTCTGAGTTTTGCTAGGACATTCTGACCCACTCCTCTCCTCGCCAAATGTTATAAAGCCTATACAAGTCTTATTATGTCTTCAGCTTGTGTCATCCAAGACCTTCCTATTTTCTGTCTGTGACCCTTAGCTTTGTCTAGGGCTTCATGCAGGAGGTGGTTCTTGTGGCTACTCTGAGATATGACTGTGCTTGCAGCACTTTGAGCCTATGTAATAGTCGACAATGCAAGTATATATTGCATACATACTACCAGGGTATCTCTTGTACATCACATAATTACCCTCATGGCTTCATTTTGTATGGTTCAAGTTTCACCAGATGACACTTAAATATGGTAAGCATTCCAAGTCCATAATCTGTCACTGACAGGATTGAATCTTGACCATTGTGAACCGCATTCTTTGTTCCATGTCCATTGCTGCCATTACCTTAAGTACATTGAGTCCTTTTTGGCATTTCGCTACAACTACCTCCACATAATCCCTGAAGGACAGGCTTTTATCGAAAGTGATACCCAGGTACCTCAGTGTGCTTTCTGTTTAGATGTTTCTATCATTAATAGTGAGACTTGGATCATCAGCTCTTACAATTCTAATGTGCAGAGAGCACCATAAAACAGCCTCCTTTTCTGAGTTAATGACATCACCCATTTCTGCACACCAGTCAGTCACTTCTTGGGCTGTCTGTTGCCTATCGCTTCCTTGCCTATATGCAAGAACATCATCTGCAAATGTCAATATCCTTCCAACCCCTAGTGCTTTAAGTTCTGCAATCCTGCTTGTATACACATTGAAGAGCACTGGTTAAATTGCAGAACCCCATGGTAATCCCGGGGCAATACTGTATGCTTCTGAGCTCCATGTAGAGGAAGGGAAAAAGTTAAAGTTGAGAGGTTTGATTAAAAAATACAGGATTGTCTCTGCATGTATGATATTAGGGCTAGTCACTTGTCGAAAGCATTGCAGAAAGCATGAACAGCGTAGCTCCAACGATGATCCACAGGAATTTCTTTTTAGAAATTGCTTTATGAACCAAATGACACAGTTATGAAACAAACCCACAACCTTCAGAATGCAATACAAACTTGAGTTGAAAGTAATAAAATCTGCATTAACTCTTTCAGTCCCAGTCAAGTATTGCTTTAGCTCATTGTATCCTAAACATTAATTGCTTAAAGTACGACATATCTGTGCCTGAATGAGTTTAAATTATAACACAATAGGCAGCCACCTTTGGGGTATTTCCTCTGTGGATCCAGAGGTCATTTGTCATGAATGACCTTAGCTCCCAGATCGACCCAGGATCAAATGGGTACTAATTAAACCCTGGGAAGTAAAGGCAGCTGGTATGATGTTAATCAAGTCACCCCCTGTCTGAAAATATAGGTCTAGCACTAAATACATACACCTAAAGATGGGGAAAAATGGTCCTTTACTGTTACTTACTTTTGTCCTAAGACACAGTAAGTTCCCTAAAGTTTGAGACATCGGTTAATAAATCCACTAGATGAGAAATAAGGACATAAGAAAAGCATTTCGTGAAAACCAGTAAAAAATACACGGTGAGTTGCTCAGTACTGAAAGAGTTTAAGAACTGTTCCTGGAGAAGATACATAATTGTCTTCCTAAATTCCAAATTGTGTGCTGTCATGTATATCCACAACCTTTTGTCTTGTATACTTTCAGTCATTTCTGACACAGATGATCTTCTGTGCTATGATTCAAACTGCCCAGCACCTTCTTTCTCACTCTCCTTCAGCCTCTTTTCCTCTCTAACTTTCCAACTGCCGTGATGTACTTCAGTTTTCTCATTCTCGAGACATGACCAGAGAACTTAGATTATTTCCTTCTGATGCGGACAATAACTTTTTTTTTTTTTTTTTTTTTTTGGTACGTGATCTACATCTTGAGTTTTACTGTCAATGCCTACATGATTATTTAATAAGACATTGAAATCTTTTTGCTTTTTTTTTTTTCAAAAGCAGTATTGTTTCTGATTAGTTTTCACATAACACTCACTGTAAATTATTGCTGTTTAACCCAGCAATTTTACCTTTTTTAGATTTTTATAAATTCAGGTGAATAAAGGTTATAAGTTAGTTTGCAATGTCAAGAAAAGAGCTAAATATATTATCTTTTAAATTAAAAAAACAACATGCTGAAATCACTATTCTTTCAGTTTAAAACATTACCAAACGGAATTTTAAAAAATGTCCCTCCAGGATTTAGATTGAAAGATGAACACTCATTGACCCAAAGAGCCACTATTTCGATGAGAACTCAACATGAGCAAATCCCAGAGACCCAGTTCAGCTATATAACACAGTTGTGTGAGGGCACGTTACAGTTACGTTGTAACCTGCCATCCAGTGTAGGTTCATCAGTCATCACAACACTTCTGATGCCCTGAACACAGTCATCCTAGAGATTTGATTGACGTCTTCCTTCCAAGGTGAAGTACATCTGCCCTAAGTCACGGAACAAGAACTGCACACAAATAAGCTAGTAAACCAGATGTACACACACAACTCAGGTCCTGGTACAAAGCCAAAAGTCCAAATAGATGAACAAACTGGATTTTCCACTGGAATTCACAGCCTGTGAACCAAACAAAGAGAAGACTTCTGATGCCCGTTATAAATCATCAGAGTTTGGGACCTCAACCAACTCACACTCCCCAGTCTTTATGTCTTTTTCCATTTCCTACAGTTCACTCTGTCTTTCCTGTTTTATTCATCCATGCCTGTAACTCTTTTCTGCACATTTTAAAATCATAGTCTGTCTCTTTTGCCCTGTGAGTTCCATTGTGAAGACTTTATTATCAGATTTTCTCTATGTGTGTCTTGTCCAATGCCAGCTTCTTTTCATTGCCTGTTGTTGCACTGGAATCTGTCTTGTTCTCTCCATTAGCTTCACATTAATTATCCTGGGATATCATTTAATTATTTCTGTTCTATAATTGCCTTATGCATTCTTTGAACAGGTACACTTTAACAAATGTCAATGGCCTAGTCGTTAAAATAATTGACTTTGGAGGGGCCATAACAGAAATCCATGTCCCCGATAGGGATGGGAAGCTAGATGATGTCAACTTGGGATTTGACACTTTTGCAGGTATTTATAATTATTTTATCTTCGACATTTAAATCGTATAAAGTAGCAGATATTAGAAAGCTATGGTAGTTCAGTGACTAGCTTATTGCCTGCTGACCCAGTAGTTGTGTGTTTGGATCTTCCTTGAGATGAAATAAACATATTGACCTAGACTAACCCATTATAAAATAGACACAAGGACATTTTGTGGGAGGTAAAAGTGGCTTTTGTAACTACTCCACTCATACACTTGCTGGATTGACAGGCATGCATCACCATACTAGATCTTCATTTGCCGATGAATTTCTGTGTTTCACCCCTTTGCTGAAATATAAAAAAAAAAGCAGCTAACATCATGCTGCTCATCTTTAGTGCATGTCAAAAGTGTGGCGATCATCTTTAAACTGATGTCACCATGCTTGTCTGCTCCCTGATGTCACAGGCCTAACACTGTTGACATTCTTAACAACAGTATTGATAAGTTACAAGACAGTGGCACTGTCATTGTAATTTCTATCAACATTTTAAGGTTTCCATTTGAGGCCCCCTTAAATTGACCACTTAACCCAATGAACACCTCTTGTATCTAAAAAAAATAGTGTTGATCATGTACAATGTTTCTAATTAAAAAAGACCCTTTATTTATAATACAGATATTGAACTGTAGAAATGAATAATCCCTAGCATATCCAAGCAGTGGTGAAATGGCTCTTAAACATACTCTAAACAAAAAAGATGTGGTTTTATAGATAAATGATAAGAATATTCTGGACAGATACAAACAACGGTAATGAAAATGTCTTGAAAGAAACTCACTCAGGAAGAGAAATAATTGCCCGTATCAGGAGACTACCTTCTTTGGTCATGTCATAAAAAGGAGAAAACTGGAGTACATCGTGACAGACGGAAAGTTGCAGGGGGAAGGGGGGCAGAGGGAGACCAAGACAGAAGATGCTGGACAGTTTGACATCATGGCATGGAAAATCATTTGTGACATAACTGATTGAAAGTACAAGAGACAGAAAGTTGTGGATCGAGATGACTACCAACAGCACACAACATGGACTATAAGAAGAAAAAAGAGGACAAATGATGAGCTTTTGTGACGTGGTGTTATCATGGATTCTTTAACAAGGCTGAACAGAAATGAGATGAAATAAACACATTCTCAAAGATGGAAAAATTAAGCAGCTACTGAATATCATTTTGTAATCAAAATCTCAGGTCTGCAGGTTGCTTCCTGCTGGCTTCTAAAGACATAGCTCGTGTGAATGAGAGGCCCAATATAGGAAGTGAGGTCAAACAGTTATGAGCAGGACGTAATGATTCCTTGAGTGTGCTAAGTACCAGAGCACCATGTGGTGGCCCAGCATTTGAGGAAGCCTCAACAAATTAATTTTTCTCCCATGACCTCATTTCTAATTTTATCCTCTGGTTTTTTGCATTTTATCCATTGCTGTGAGAATGAAAGCAGACCAAACTGCATATGAGACTTTTTACGGCAGAACATTTGGGAAGAAGGCGAAAGGAAGACCAAGAAAAAGATGGATAAATGATGTAGCCAAACCTGCAAAAAAGATGAACAAATCCATCACCCAAGCCACCTGAAAAGCGCAAGACAGATACAGAAAACCACGACAACACTGGCCTACAATCTGGTACAACCTGGTATCAGTAAGATGACAAAAGAAGAAAGAAGATCCACTGCTGATGAATTCATGTTCACACTAACTTAACTCTGTCATATCAGTACAAGGTTGTGGATCAAAATTTTTTTATTCTGAATGTTTTGTTGATGTTGATTAGGGTATCATCATCATCATGGTGTGCCATTATACATAGGGCTGCCAGTTTATTCTTCTATTCTGTCTTATCTTACGCATCTGTTTTATTAGGGCAGGGCTATTCAGCTAAGTCTACTCCAGGGCCAATATGTTGAAAATGGGGATCGTCACGGGCCAAAGGCCAAAACCTAACGCATGGAAAGATAATTAAAACAATACAAAAGGCAATGATCCTTGGACCACATGCAAGGCCTCCGCAGGCCAGATTTGGCCCTCAGCCTGCTAGTTGAATTGCTCTGTATTAGGGTTTTGCTGTCTTTCATTTTAGGGGATTGTTACATGTTTGTTGACTATATATGAGCTGTTATGATCCTGTAATCATAGAGTTACTGAATAATTTTTTTCTCGTTTTGTTGATCAGAGTATGAAGTTAACAGGCCTCATTTTGGAGCTTTGATTGGTCGCGTTGCCAACCGGATTGCTGGAGCACAGTTCACATTGGATGGTCAAACATATAAGTTGTTTGCCAACAACGGACCAAACTGCTTGCATGGGGGACAAGTTGGCTTTGACAGGGTAGATATGACATTTATCTTATAAACAATTTTTTTTCTCAATTAAATATAGTATCTTCTTATTCTTTATATTCATCGGCTGTAAACTCCATTTGGAAAGTTCTGGTAGTTTGCCCACTTCTCAACTTTAGTCTTGTTTCAGAGCTTGAGTGTTGTGTGCATATCAGTTTGACAAATCTGGCTCATTTATGTGCAGACTGCTGGTTCCTTGCCTCTCAGGCATTTGCACTGACTTTGAAGGAGTTCCCTAATTAATCTATTCCTCATACATGCTTGTTAGGAGGCAGTGAGCTACTATATCCCGGCGATGAAAAGTTGCCAGATCACAGATAAATGTTGCCTCTTTAGATTCCTGCTTTGCTTCATAGATGAAATTTTTGTCTTGGCCATAATAAAATCAAGTCTCATTACTTTATTGTCGGACCTTGTATAATTATTGTTACTCTGAACTAACATCACGGCAAAGGAGGCAGATAATAATGTGCTCAGTCTTTCACAGCACATGCATGTGTTCTGGCTATTCTTGTGGTGTAGTAGTGTGAGGGAGGATTAGTAAGTTACTCTTTCCATCCATCTCTGCCTCAGTTCTGTGTCCACCACTGGAAACAAAGCATATTGAATTTAAATGGAAGCTTCTTTCTCCATCTTCATTTATGAGATTCAAAGTCTGACCATCAGCAGGGAACATTGAGTTTACAGTGCCTTGAGATTCTCAAGGTCTGCCTATTGTGGTTAAAGTATAACATTTGCTGTACCCACTGGGGTTAAATCTAACAATGCTGTCCCACTCGGACTAGATCTAAGAACCGTCTACCCACTAGGGGTGAAACATAACAACTGCTGTACCCACTGGGGTTAAACATAACAATTGCTGTACCCACTCCGGTTAAATAAAATGTCTTCCCCCTGGGGTTAAATATAACAACTGCTGTACCGACAGGTTAAATATAACTGCTGTACCCACTGGGGTTAAATATAACATTTGCTGTACTAACAGGGGTTGAATATAACAACTGCTGTACCCACTGGGGTTAAATATAACAACTACTGTACCCACTGGGGTTAAATATAACAACTACTGTACCAACTGGGATTAAATATAACATTTGCTGTAACCACTGGGGTTAAATATACTTGCTGTACCCACTAGGGTTAAATATAACAACTACTGTACCCACTGGGGTTAAATATACTTGCTGTACCCACTGGGGTTAAATATACTTGCTGTACCCACTGGGGTTAAATATAACAACTACTGTACCCACTGGGGTTAAATGTACTTGCTGTACCCACTGGGGTTAAATATAACAACTACTGTACCCACTGGGGTTAAATATAACATTTGCTGTACCCACTAGGGTTAAATATAACATTTGCTGTACCCACTGGGGTTAAATATAACAAATGCTGCCCCACTAGGGTTAAATATAACATTTGTTGTACCCACTGGGGTTAAATATAACAACTACTGTACCCACTGGGGTTAAATATAACAACTGCTGTACCGGCAGGTTAAATAAACTTGCTGTACCCACTGGGGTTAAGTTTAACAACTGCCGTACCCACTGGGGTTAAATATAACAACTGCTGTATCCACTGGGGTTAAATATAAAATTTGCTGTACGGATGTGTTAAATATAACAACTGCTGCACCGATGGGTTAAATATAACAACTGCTGTACTGACGGGTTAAATATAACAACTGCTGTACTGACGGGTTAAATATAAAAACTGCTGTACTGATAGGTTAAATATAACAACTGCTGTACTGACGGGTTAAATAAAACAACTGCTGTACTGACGGGTTAAATATAACAACTGCTGTACTGACGGGTTAAATATAACAACTGCTGCACCGATGGGTTAAATATAACAACTGCTGTACCAACGGGTTAAATATAACAACTGCTGTACTGACGGATTAAATATAACAACTGCTGCACCGACGGGTTAAATATAACAACTGCTGCACCGATGGGTTAAATATAACAACTGCTGTACTAACGGGTTAAATATAACTACTGCTGAACTGACGGGTTAAATATAACAACTGCTGTACTGACGGGTTAAATATAACAACTGCTGTACTGACGGGTTAAATATAACAACTGCTGCACCGATGGGTTAAATATAACAACTGCTGTACTGACAGGTTAAATATAACAACTGCTGTACTGACGGGTTAAATATAACAACTGCTGTACTGACTGGTTAAATATAACAACTGCTGCACCGATGGGTTAAATATAACAACTGCTGTACTGACGGGTTAAATATAACAACTGCTGTACTGACGGGTTAAATATAACAACTGCTGTACTGATGGGTTAAATATAACAACTGCTGCACCGATGGGTTAAATATAACAACTGCTGTACTGACGGGTTAAATATAACAACTGCTGTACTGACGGGTTAAATATAACTACTGCTGTACTGACGGGTTAAATATAACAACTGCTGCACCGATTGGTTAAATATAACAACTGCTGTACTGACGGGTTAAATATAACAACTGCTGTACTGACGGGTTAAATATAACAACTGCTGCACCGATTGGTTAAATATAACAACTGCTGTACTGACGGGTTAAATATAACAACTGCTGTACTGATGGGTTAAATATAACAACTGCCTCCCCACTGGGGTTATCTATAGCAACTCCATTGATAAAAGCCTTGTTGGTTTAGTCACCCCCTTAGCTGTGTTCCCCAATGAAACATAGGCCCTCAGCAGCTCATGCAAAATGGTCTTTTCTTGTGCCATCATCACACACATGTCATTGCACACATTCCATCGCACACATGTCATCTGTCACTGCACACAGTTCACTCCATGTTCCCTTCTTCTGCCGGGGGGGGGGGGGGGGGGGGGGGGGGGCTTTTATCTCTGTGATCCTGTGTAGGTAACAATGTAAAAACAATAATTATATTGTTTTCTAGTTTTTCAGTGTGTGTCCTACCTATCTGGCCTGTTTTCTTCATCTCTTGATTCACTGTAATTTGTTTACTTCTCCCCCAATGCTCCACATTACTGATTACATCGTACTGTCATTTAATTCCCTCAGTTCTGCTCAGAGAATGCGGGCAATATCGAGGCATCTCTCTTTTAAGCCATGTTGGCAAAATGTCTGCCAAGATAATAGAAACAAGACTGAGACCAGTGATAGAACCACAGCTGGCAGAAGAACAGATGGGATTTAGGAGAAATAGAAGCTGCACAGATGCAATCTTCACACTTAAACAGTTAATAGAAAAGAACATTAAATGCAATAAGAACTTATTTTTTGGCATTCGTAGACCAGGAGAAGGCATTTGAAAGAGTCACAGACAATTATTATGGAAAATAATGGCAGGATATGGAGTAAGCGAACACCTCATCGAAGTGTGCAAAAGTTTATACAGGGATTATAGAAGTGTAGTTAGAATAAATCAGGGAACATCTCATCCTTTCACATTGACATCTGAAGTAAGACAGGGGTGTGTCTTATCACCACTGCTGTTTATCACCTACATGGACAGTATATGCAAGAATGCCAAGCCCATGAATGAAGATCTTAGTAAGATCAACGAATTACTCTTTGCAGATGACCAGGCCTTGATAGCAGATACAGCCATGAAATTGCAACAACATCTAACATCCATGAATGAAAAATGTAAAACAAATAATATGAGAATCAACACTGAAAAGACAGAAGTGATGTCAATAGGAAAAAAGAAGACAGTTCTAAACATAGCAATAGAATACAAAGGCATTAAACAGGCATCTGAGTTTAAATATCTGGGAACTACATTTACCGAAGATGGGAAATTGGATAAAGAAATTGACATTAGATGCAGTAAAGCAAACCAAGTATTGGGACAGCTAGCCTCCTTCTTACAGCATAAGACAATCCCAATCAGCACAAAGAGACATCTTATTCAAATCATATTTATTCCAACTCTGTGCTACCAGTGCCAGACATGGTCACTCACAACAAACCATAAAAGAAAATTAGTAACCACGGAAATGAGATGTCTGAGAAGGGCTGTAGGAGTGACCATAAGAGATGAGATCATAAGAGAACAAGTCGGCACAGAACCAATTCTGGATTATATACAAAGACAGCAAGTGAAATGGTTTGCCCACTTAGAGAGAATGCCTTGTGACACCATACCATACAAAGCATACATGGAAAGAGAAGAAGGACGTAGAGCACGGGGTAGACCAAGAACAAGAAGGAAGGATAACATCAGAGAAACTCGACAACAGCACGATGTGCCTATGGTCGAGGCAGCCAGAAGAGCTAGAAACAGAACCTTATATCTCCCTCGACACCCACAGCGGTAAAAGAGGAAGTGAAGAAGAAGAAGAAGAAGAAGTTCTGCTCAGCACCAGTTAATGTATCTTTGCAGTTTATGAGTAATTGTTTTAGAAATTTAGCTGCTAATCTACAAAAATTATATTCTCTATTTTGTCCCAGAAACTCTGGGAATCAAAGGTGAAGGATGACAAACTGATCCTGACATATGTGAGCGCTGATGGAGAAGAAAACTTCCCAGGTGAGCTGACCCTCACTGTAGTGTACTCGCTGGACGACACTGATTCCTTAACACTTGATTACACGGCAACAACCACTAAGAAAACCCCAGTCAACTTTACCAACCACTCATACTTCAACTTGGCAGGCCATGTAAGTGCATAATGTAAGCTAATGTCGATTTTCTTGAACACTTTCTTAATTTAGACAGATATAGAAAAAATATACAAATAAATGAGCTGTCATGTCCTGGTCAACTGTTTAGAGAAAATAGGTGAAGGAAGTCAAGGATTTTTTGGACATGTTACGAGGAGGGATAAACTTGAAACCTTGTAACAGCTGTTCCAACGAGGGATTCGTAGCCCGGTTGTGGGGAGTAAAAAGAATAGATCCACTGCTCCCTAGCAAGCATATCATAAAAGTTGATCAGTTAGGGATGTTTCCTTCCTTCAAAGTCAGAGTGCATCTGCCTGAGAAGCAAAAACCAATAGTCTGCATATAAATAAGCCAGCTCTATTAAATAGATGTGCATGAAAACACAAGAGAGAGGAAGATCTAAAGTTTGCAAATTTACAGCAGAGGTTGCTGCTTAGCAACATCTAAGCAATAGCCAAACTTATCCCCACACACAAAGAACTGAACAGAAGGGTCCTTGGTGGCACGAGCACGCGCACTCGAGTGGTTGGTTATGCAACTGTTCTCTAGCAGTAATAATCAAAACTTTAGATCTTCCCCTCTCTCTTGTATGTATATTATTCATATACAAATTATATTCAAGGAAATATACATGAGTAAAAGTGTATTCATGTGGAATAACGTGGCATTATGAACACTGAAAAAAAAAGACATTTAGTCTTTCAGATTTTTAGGTACAACATTTACCACTCGAGTAAATAACAGTAGCTGCCTTAGGACCACATTTACTTTATTCAAATGTTTTGACTTTCAGGCTGCAGGCCATATTAATGATCATGTGATCACGATACCTGCCAACAGTTTTCTGCCACTGGATCAGTATTCCATTCCTACAGGTGAGTTTTCTTTGTCTTCTTCGCATTCTTCTTCTTCTTATTCTTCTTTGTTCACAGGCTGTAAGCTCCAGCGGAAAGTCCTGTTGTTCTTTCATTTGGACATTGGATTTTTTCCAGGGAGCAAACATTTTGCGTGTACATCCATTTTACTGGCTTATTTATGTACTGTTAGTTGTTCCTTGCCACTAAGGCAAATGCACGCTGAGTTCGAATGAAGTCCCCAATTAGTCTGGGACTCCAGAACCCAGGGATTCTTTGCGTTCACTGACTGAAAACTCAGGCAGAAAGTTCTGATTGTTTCATTACCTCTCGATTCTGGAGCCCCCCCCCCCACCCCCACCCCCCCCCCCCCCCCCCCCCCCCCCCCCCCAGATAGTCAACCCTTAGGACATGCTTTTGGATAAGTAGTGGGTTTATTCTTGTTTTCCCCACAGTAGGGCCCTAGAACTCACACAGGGAACAGGTGAGATGAAACAGGCAGACTTAATTACAGAACTCTCTGATTGCTCCAGTAATTTTGTACAGGAAACCATTTTGACCAATTCAACCAAAATCCTATTATATATATAACAAAATAAATAAATGATTTTAGGGGCATGCTTTCATTTGATGTGCTTTTATAATGGGTACCATCGCTGACTGTTGATAAGGGAGACAGGGCTAAAATGGGCTTTTCCTGAATGCTCTGATGTTGAATATTTTTTTTGGATGTCATTTGATATACTTTTATTTAATTTGCTTGAATTTGATGTGTTTTCTTTCAGAATTTTTTTTTTTCAGTCGGAATGCTTTATTTCACATCTTTTCATGTGGCATCTTTCATCAGATGCATTTTTCTTGCTGTTGGTATGGTTTCGGTTAGTGTGCTTTCAGTTGGTGTGAGTGTTCAATTGGTGTGCTTTCCATTGATACGTTTTCAGTTGGCATGTTTTCAGATGGTAGGCCTCCAGTTCGTAGGCTTTCATTTTTATGTTGCTGTGCTTTCAGTTAGCATGCTTTCATTTTGTAAGCTTTCAGCTGGTGTGCTTTCAGTTGGTATTTTGTCAGTTGGTCTGCTTTTACTTGGTAATATTTTAGGTGGTAATCTTTCAGTTAGTAAACTTTCAGTTAGTGTGCTTTCATTTGGAGACTCATGTAACAAGACAGAGTTTTGGAGACTGATTATAGTTGACTTTCAGTGCATGGTCAGCACTTGATAGTAATTTGAGATTTAAAAAAACTCACACTCTATCTTGGATCCTGGTGAATATTTATTTTATTTTATTGTCATCAGGTGCCTTGCCGACTGGCTTAGATAACCATGCCAGACCGCATTCTGAAATCTCCAGCAGCATTTATTAGTTCTTGTGCCAGCACTCTTCTGTGGGATGACAAAATATAATCAAGAATCTTCTCTCATTGACTTCCTGTCTTTCTTTCCATGCATTTTTGTGGTTGTCACAATATTTCCCATTATTTTCTTCACCCTATACTTATTGCTATGAGAGAATCTGCTCAGTTGGAGGATTTTAGTGGTAATTGTCCACAGTGTCCATAGGTGAAAAAAATGTGGGAGGGGGTGGGAGTGTGGGGAGGGGGAGGGGTTGGGATAGGAAATGACATTCACTCAACTAGAACAGAAAGTCACACCTAACAAACCTATTAGAGAGGTAGGCAGATATAAATTTTCAAGCAGATGTTTTATTCTGATTATTTTGTAGACATGTCTTGTATCACACGGCATATGACCTGAACACAGGTGACACCTTGTTATAAAAGAAAATCCAATCAAATAAGCACTAGTTAAGGCAGAAACTTTAGGTAAAAATAAAATACACCTGCATAATCCATGCTACCATTTATTGCTTTGTTATTAAGAGTTTCTGTAAACAGCCTTCTCATGATTTCCCATTGTCAGGTGAAATCAAGGCTGTGGCAGGAACTGAGCGTGATCTGCGGACACCAGTTCGTCTTGGGGATCGCCTGACCCAGGTGCCTGGTGGAATTGGTTTTGATAACAACTTCTGTCTGGACAACAATGGGGAGTTTGTTCTTGCTGCTAGGTTTGTTCATTTGTGCTTTTGATGTTTATGAGGGGTTTCAGCATAGACAGGAGACGGTAGTGACAGCACTAGATCTTGAAGATGCCTACAATAGAAAATTTTTAATTTTGATATCTGTGCTTGTGGAAAAGGGGTTTGTCCATGGCTGGGGAACTGGATAACTGCTGTCCTGCATTCATGTATGACTGTCCTTCGCCTGGTTACATGGGCCTCAGAACCATGTAATATCGCCCCGGGACCAACCCAGGATTCTGAAATTTCATCATTGCTATTCAGTGTGTATACGCAGAACTGATGAAAAATGGAATCAAAGGAAACATGTTAAGATGGATCCAATCCTACTTACACAACAGGAGAACTAGAGTCATTCTTGATAGCCTGCAGAGCAGAAAAGTGTTGCTTCATCAAGGAGTACCACAGGGAGAAGTTATCTTTCCAACTCTCTTTCTTGTTTATATCAATGACCTGGTGAAAGACCTCTTTACAGGAGTGAATCCTGTCCTGTGAGCAGATGATTTGGCACTCTCGTGTACTGGTGATCACACCACAGGGGCAAATCTAAGAAAGCAGCGAGCAGCAGATCTCTTAATGACTTGGACAGAAATGTGGCATGTTACCAGGGGATCTGGCTAGTGCTCAAGGGTAAGGCGAGACAGATATACAATCAGACAGTTACCGGTACAATCGGAATTGAAACTTTTGGTTTACTGCTGATGATGGGGATGGAGTGCTTATGGGAGTATACCGAGTGCTGTGATGTCCATTCAACATTCATTCAACTTTTTAAAACCAGTCTTATCATGATAACTGCCCAGAAATTGCCAAGTATTTATTTTACATTGATTTGACCTTTAACCAAAGGTCGGTGAAGAAAGTTCTGTCACATTGAAATAGGCAGAATAGGCCAGTTTTAATGTAAACATACTGTGTGATAATGATAGAGCTTCCTTTATCACCTGACTGACAAATTTGTCTGGTTTTGAGTTGACTGAGGCAAATTTGAATCAAGTTGATGCTAACAAATATGAAAAGTTGTAGGTGACTGTAACAAATTTTGCTCCCTGGGGGAGCCGGACTTTAAAAAAAAAAATTACCTTGGCTCCCAGGTCGACCCAGCTTTGAGTGGGTACCGGGTGCAGTCCCGGGAAGTAAAGGCGGCTGTCGCGATGCTGACCACATCACCCATCTTGTGCTGATTGGTCTATAAAATATAGGTCTAGCCCTATATGCCTTATACCCCTAAAGGCGGGGAAAAGTGTCGTTTACTTACTTACTTTTAATATAACAAATTTAAATAGTTTTAAATAAACACATTTTACTGGTCTTCAGTTGAATAACAAACTTGAATGGGTTTCAAAGTTGACTTAATGGTTTCAGAGTGGACCACCCACCCACAGGACGATACTTGGAGGTGAGAACAACTGAACCAGGCATCCAGTTCTACACTGCTTACTACCTGACTGATGTGACTGGCAAGGGAGGAGTCCCCTATCAGAGATTTGGGGCTTTTTGTCTAGAAGCTCAACATTACCCTGACAGTGTGCATCAAGTAGGTGCAGCTTTAGCCTCTTATATCTTATATTACCCATAGGGGATCCAGGGATCATTTGGGGGGGGGGGGGGATGCTAGTCCTACTGCTCCTCTTCATGCATGTTATAAAAGGCCACTAATCAGGGGTTTGTTGAAATCAGATGTATATAACTAGAATGTCTTTGCACTGGAACCCACAAGGGCATAGAAATAAAAGAAGACCCAAAAATAAACCCCACAGAGAAGAGAGCTAGAGAGTGAGGTTAACAAGATGGGGAGGACATGGGGAGAACTGCATGCGATAGCGAAGGATAGAATGACTTCTCATGAGTTAGTTGAGGGCCTATGCTCCATTGGGGGCTAGAGAGGCAAAGGGAAAAGAAAAAAATCTGATGGGGTTAGGCCGAAAGGCACATATATTGCAGCCTAGCTGTCAACCACAATGTGTCAACTATCCTTGTAAGAGTAATCACAGAAGAATTTCTCATATAATTATGTATGTAACAGTGTGTTGGTTTGGCAAGCCAAACGAAGTGACCATTAATTCACCATTAAAAAGTTAGGGTAAGTTAGGGTGTATCTTCTTCTTCTTCATCTGCATTTATCCAAAGATGTAAATGCGCCGTGCCTGTTTACAACATGGCTACGATATTTGCATCTTTCAACTGACACATCTACGTCTGCAGCCAGTTGTTGCCCGGGGGTAGCCTTCCTGGTTAATGACATGGGATATTCCAGTTTAGTTGCAGTCATTTTTGTTTTGTTTCCTGGTCCACAAGTGTTGCCGCCCATCAGTCCCATCAACAGTAGCCATGTAGTGCTGTGTGAGCCCTCAGGAGAAGGCATATCGGTCAAATGATCCAAATGATGGGTATTATTGTCAGCATCACACCACCTTTGCTTCTCAGGACATTACATGGTATCCATTTTAGGCTGGGTTGACCTGTGGTAATGTGGTTTCTGAGAAAAATGTTGCAGATACCTTAGACCAGTGGCTCTCAACCTTCCTAATGCCGGGACCCTTTAATACAGAACCCTCATGTTGTGGTGACCCCAAAATGATTATTTTCCTTCATAACTTCAATGAATGTGTGTTTTCCGATGTTCTTAAATGACGTCTGTGAAAGGATCATTCGACCAAAAAAAGTGGTTGTGACCTGCAGGTTGAGAGCCACTGTGTTAGACTGACAGAGAGGCAGATCCCCCAAAAAATGGTGCTGGATGGTCTAAGATGGCAGCCGTTAATTGACCGTAATGTTGGTATTCCTGTATCTGTTGACATGACTGTAAATTGTGTGCTATCTTAGCAGTTGCTGGTAATTGACTTTTGTGTATTTGCTGTTTCAGCCCAGCTTTCCCAATTCATATCTGAACCCAGGAGAGACCTACACTCAGAAGACTGTCTACAAATTTGGAGCCTCCTAAATCTTCGGGGTACACTCTGTGAAGCAATGTTATCACGGATCTGTGCTTAAAGGGATAGAAAGAAGTGTGTTTAATAAGCACAAAACTTGTATTATTAGCTTGATTAAGTCTGCATTCTTCATCTGATAAGATGACGAGTATGTTTCTTAAATAAAGCAGAAAACATATAACTTGCTGCTAATTACTGGGGCAATAATTAAAATGATATTGATGATTAACTTAAATTTAGTTTGCTACGATTCAGACCAATTTCTTGTGCAATTAAAGCCAAACATTTTATTTTATGTAGAAATGTAATGTTAAGTTTATTTCTGTTTATTCTGCGCAAATTATTTTTGTAATTCAATTTGAAACATATACAATTTGACCACACTGGTAAGTGGTTTTTATGTAATCAGATGAAACATATTTTCAGTTCAGTATTAATAAATCTTTGTATGGCAGGAAAAATCACTGTTCTTTTTAGAATGAGATGTTAAAAAAACACGCATGTTTGACCCATTTCTTGCATTAGGGCATACTAGGCATATGGTGCTTGCTCCCTAGTTTAAAGATCAGCCAGTGCTTAATGGAGGTCATGCCCTCTTAGAGTAGTGATCTTTAGTTGATTTTGTACAGGGAAGTCTGTAGTCCCACTTTAAATACTGGTAAATAATTCCTCTTTTTATAGCAGTGGGTAGTGCTATGTTTCTCCCAAAGTACTGATCAATAAATAATCTTCATGTGAAACTCAGAAGTATTAATGTTCTCATAAAGTACTGATAATTAATGAATCACTTTATGGCACTGAGAAGTGCTAAGGTTTTCCTAAATTACTGATTAATAATTAACCTGTCATTTTATGGCATAGCAGTCATTTTATAGCATCAAAAATGCTATATATATAAATATATATATATGCACACACACATACACACACACAGATTTGTTTTCAACACTTTGTGACAAGAGCCATGTTCAGTTATAAAATTCTTTAACTCTGTTTATCACCCTAAGGCACTCTTCTTATGGTAATTGCTTATAAAATTCTCCACTTATTGTTTCACTGTAAATATTGAAAGATAATCAGTGAAAGCAAAAGAAAATCTTTATTCTCAGTCTTGATTAATAATTCAACTGTTTATCACCATGGTTACAGTCATAACAGTCCTTAGTGTTGACTAAATCTCAGACTGGTTGTCACAGTGTAGATGTTTAAAGATAACCAAGGGAAGCAACACTGTACTTAGCACCTGCCTAAGACAGCAGAGTTATATTTTCTTTGGCCATTGCAGGACCCTAATTGTAACATCTTTGGAAGATGAATGGGGTATCTAAGATTTGACCTAGTGGACTGACATCCAGAATGTGGTTCATTAGGTAGAGGCCCGGAGTGGAAAAAGCAGTCAGTAACCAAAGAAAGTAGCCTATAATCTTGACTGTGAAGTACTTTCTTGCAGATTTTTTTTTTTTAAAAATAACTTTCACATAATTCTAGACTGTAATGAGTTTACTGCAAACATTGAAAGATAACCAGTGAAGCAGTATTTATTACTAACTGTCAAGTAATTCATATAGGCCAGGTTTTTACTATGGAAATAATCCCTTTATAATTTATTTTTTCTAATACTGAAACAGTTCTAGAGATTCTTCTAGTTCCAGAGATTCTTCTTCAGATGATGAACAAAGATGTTTATTTGCAGTAAAATATAGTTTGTATGTACAAGCACTTAAAAGTCAAACTGAATCAAAGTAAAAAAAAAAAAGGTTTATGTGTCAATATTAGCAAAATCAGCTAGATTTTTCGGTTACCCCCTCATCCCCCCACCCTTGTTAGATTCTGTGTCTTTTTTTAACCACTTCTTATCAGATTTATGGGTCTACATTAGCCTGTTCTCAAATTTCTGTTTTGGTTTTTTTGCCACTTATTGCCAGGTTTCTTTGTCTGTTTTAACCGATTCACTTGCCAGGTTTCTGTGTATGTATTAACCCACTTCTTGCCATGCTTCTGTGTCTTCAATAGACTATCTGCTACTCATTTATTAACAACCCCATTGTGGGGAAAACAAGAACAGACCCACTGCCTCCCCAACAAAGTCATAAGAGGACTAATTGGGAGCTTGCTTAAAAGTCAGTTGCATCTGCCTGAGCGACAAGGCAGCTGGACACAAATATGCCAGTAAAATGGATGTACATGCAAAACTCAGGTCCTGGCACCAAGCCAAAGTCCAAATGAACGAACAACCAGGACTTTCTGCCAATGAAGAAGAAGAAGAAGAAGATCCATTCACAAACCATACCAAATAATCATCATCTGGCAGGACTGACTCGAGAAAGTCTAGCCAACAGAATCACTGTGGATTTAAAAATATGGAGCTAGCATTACGTACCCATTGCTCTTCATTGCAGGAAACAGTTTCCTTTATCTTTATATGTTGACACAGGGAGCCATGACATTATGGTGGCTAGCACTCTTGCTTGATTGTTATGTGCCTAACCCTTCTCCCCCCCCCCCTTCCCGAGAACACAGAGACATAGACACATATCCATGCACAAGATTTATATTTTCTTAGTGTCAGCAGGAAGGGAGTTTTTTTACCTGCGAGGATTTTAATGTATACAAGGCGGGGCATCTGTCTATACCTTGATTATATTATATTCTAACATCAAGTTTCAGACTGTTTGTGATGATGGTTTGTTTCATTTCTTGGTCAGTGAGGGTCAGGTCAGGCATTTTGCAGGGGGGAAGGCATGCATTCAAGGACAGAAGGTTCAGAGGGTCAGAAGAAAACAATTCAGGGCGGAACAAAGATGGAGGAGGCATTCAGTGAGAAGGGTCGAGTTTCAGGCGGTCATAGAATATGTTCAGTAATTAGCTACTGGATTATGTAAATAATGTATGTAACTGTGTATGAATATGACACTAGCCCCATATTTTAGAACTGACACTCAGCAAATATTATGGTCAATATATCATTTTGGTCACCTTCACTTTCCACAAAATTTCCTAGTACCAATTTTAGTCTGAGTTTGAGTGAAAATCCAGATTAGTGAGAGGAAGAAAAACCTCATCTCAAAGGGAATTTAACCATTACTTCCTTCAAATAGTTGAGAAAAAAAAATGAAAAAAAAAATAGTTTGTAAACGACATATATGAATATATACTGAATGTGGTGGGTTAAGATGTTTGCTATGTTAATATGGTCTACAAATGATTAAATGATTACGCTTATGTAGTTGTTTTTGTGAATCCTAGTATTTGGAACTCAAAATTGTAAGTCTTTTTTGGGCCCTGTTTTATTTTGTTTTGTTTTGTGGGTAGTCTGTGACTTCTGTTTCTTTGTGTACAGCCTGTGACTCCTGTTTTTGTGTATACAGCCGGTGTCTCCTGTTTCTTTGTGTACAGTCTGTGATCCCTGTTTGTTGTTGTTGTTGGTGTACAGTCTGTGATTCCTGTTTGTTGTTGTTGGTGTACAGTCTGTGATTCCTGTTTGATGTTGTTGTTGTTGTACAGTCTGTGATTCCTGTTTTTTGTTGTTGTTGGTGTACAGTCTGTGATTCCTGTTTGTTGTTGTTGTTGGTGTACAGTCTGTGATTCCTGTTTGTTGTTATTGTTGTGTGTGCAGCCCGTGATTCCTGTTTGTTGTTGACAAGAAAATTAAAGACCATTATATATCCGAAGCTTATGCAGTAGCGGGCTGAACGCGGTCAAAGTGTTTTCTTTGTTTCGAACATCGCAAGGTTGGCCAGGACACGGCCTAGTTGAATGTTCACATACGAAGACTCCGGAAAGAAATAGACGGAGATCCATTGTCGCCTCATATATTAATTTAATAATGGCACAGAGAAGCAGGCACAGCAAGAGGCATAAGTTAGACACAGTTAAAGCAATAGATGTATGCAAATGAGAATATCATTTGCCCATGTTTTGGGCTAATTTACACCACTTAATCTTTGGGCACACTAGCAGAGTAGAGGGAAGAAGGTTTAGTAGCTGGGAATACTTAGAACTGGTTTGAGATGCAAAAGGAGACAAGCAGAATGTGTTCTGCCAACCAGACCTCTTCAATATACAACTACAAAACACAAAAGAAACACCCAAAATGATTAAACTTATGATAGATTTTTTATCCACTTTTATTTAGCAGCATTTAATTACGGAACTTAGTAACGCAGACTACACAGTCCGACTTTCGAACAGTATCAAGGAACAAGTTCATTTACTCCTATATGTGCAAAATCCCATTGAAGACCAAAACATTTTTCTTCTCCTTGTTTGCTTGCTTGTTGTACCCCACCAGGACATCACACAAGGGATTAACACCCGGTGACACAAAGTGCTACCATGCAGATGAGGACCACCCGCGGAGAGATCCCAGAAACCCCTTTCAGCCGTTATGGTCACTAATGTGGCCCTGCTATATTTAGGGTCCCCGGCAGAAGCCAAGGTGGGGCTTCAAATATAAAAAAAAAATTGCATCCTACAAGGGGGCAACTGATTCTTTCCCTTCTGAATTTAAAGGAAATAAAAAATAATGGCCACATGCACAAACATCCTTAAAATTAACAATTAAAGATGAAAAAAAATTGAAATTCTCACGAACGTTTCATATTTTGGTACCTTTCCGTCTTCCTTGGCGCTAGTGTTATATTGTTCTATGAAGAGGCATGGGACTCACAGCCCATGTCGATGGCGAGGATGACTAGCAAGACCGGCACGCGTTAATAATCACAATAAGAGCATGAGATTTCAGAACCGTTGTTGCCATCACGTATATTTAGTCTGTCTCTTCTTACAAGCTCTGCTCACATCCAGTCTGCAGTCATTTCCCCTCTTCGTTCTCATTTCCTCCGTGATTTACTACTCCCTCAGTCCGTGACAATTTGTTCCTACGAATCTGACTGAATACCTGCACCATTCATGTCTCACCTCTCTATATCGTAGTAGAGACCAACATCAGCCTCTTCGATCCATCTGCAATTCCCTGTAAAGAATTCTACCATACTCAATTCTCCATGTG